CCTACAAGTGGAATTCCTGGGTCAAATGATATTTTTACTTTTAGTTTTTTGAGGAACGTCCACACTGCTTTCCACAGTGGTCGTGCCAATTTGTATTTGGTAGGTGCTTAGTAAATGTTGAATGAATGCATCTAGAGGACATTGCCCTGAAACATGCTCTGGTTTCCAAACTTCAGATTAGTTTCTATTACTCAAGTTTACAACGATCCTCAATTTCTCAAACATTTCTTGGAATACTTGCATTAGTATCACTTGGGAATCTTTTAGTCCAAGAGATTAGGAATCTGATTTTTAAAATATCTCTTATGATTCTTAGGCAAGTATGGAACCTACTGTCCTAAAACTGAATGTACAGTAACTAATACCTGAGTTTCACTGTAAGTGAACTAAGTTGTTGATGACCCTATAAATAAAGTATTGTACAGCAGGCAGGTGAGGGAAATTAAAAAGGTAGCTCCTGCTTTAAATAAGCTTATGACTTAAATAAGTTAATCAAGAACATTTTCAGGAAGAAGTAAAATCTAGCCAGGTTTTTAAATAGACTTAGATCAATGAGAAGAGCTCAGTATGACTGAATTACTTTACTGCAGAATTTCCAGTTTTGCAGTGCACTAGAAGCTTAGTAAAACTGCCACTGTATATTTGCTTCACTGATCAACAGGGAGAAACCAGACAGGACACTTACAAACCAAACTGACTTGGTTTTCTATTTTTACTTAGTGTTTCATTTGTGAACAGAAGTTAAATTCAAAATTGTTGAAAATTTAATCTTACTAGCTGCCGTTTGACCTCTACACTATGTCAATTTCCCACCTGTAAAATAGGCCAAGTATTTGCTATAATTAAGCAGCAGGTTGGAAGGACTATTTCAACACACACAATTTTGATCCTAATTCATTTTGTGCTAAAACAATGGCAAAGATTTATCTAGAATGATTATAATAAAAAAGACAACAACAAATGTTGGCAAGGGTATGGAGAAATTAGAAACCATGTATATTGCTGATGGGAATGTAAAATGGTGCAGCTGATTTGGAATAGTTTGGCAGTTCTTCAGAAAGTTAAACAGTGTTACTCTGTGACCCAGCAATTTCAGTCCTAGTATCATATCCAAGAAAACTGAAAACATTTATTCACACAAAAATGGGAAAAAATGTTCATAGCATCATTGATAATAGCCAAAAATGTGGAAACAACCCAAATGTTTATCAACTAACTGATGAAAACTAAAATGTGGTACATTCATGCAACAGAATCTTATTCAGCCGTTAAAGGGAATGAAGTACTGATACACATTTCTCCATAGATGAACCTTGAAAACATTGTTAAGAAGCCAGACACAAAAGGTCACATATTATATTATTCCATTTACATGAAGTATCCAGAACTGACAAATCTATGTAGACAGAAAGCAGCTTAATTGTTGCCAGGGGCTGAGAGGAGCGGGTAATGAGAACTGCTGATGGGCACAGGGTTTATTTTGGGGTGATGAGAATGTTCTGGAGTTAGGTAGTGATGATGACTGTATAACCATGTGGATATACTAAAAACTACTTAATTTTACACTTTAAAAAGGTGAATTTTATGAGGTGAACTATAGCTCTCTCTTAAAAATTGAGGAACAGAAAAGCAAACCACTCGAGGCAGACAGTAACTAAATGGCAAATTCTGGGGTCCTCCCATCAGCCCCCAAAGGTCACCCCTTTAAGCTTGTCAAGAATTTACCAGAAGGAATGAAAGGTGAGGATGAGTGAAAGACTAAATCCTTCCTCGCTTGATTGGAAACAAGGTAAGGATGTCTACTCTTACCATTCCTATTTAATGTTATATACTGGAGGTTGAACCCAGGATAAGAAGCCAAAACAAAAACAAACAAGTAGTAACTACTGAAGGTTTCCAGACTAGAAAGAAAGAGGAAAAACTAACTTTATTTGCAGACATGGTTGTCTATGTAGAAAAATCCCACAGAAGCTACTAAAACACTATTAGAATTAAAAAATGACTTGCAAGTTTGTAGGACTGAAGATCAAACTCTAAAAATCAACATTTCTATATTTTATTATAAATAATTAGAAGCTGAGGTTTAAAAAAAGAAAAGTATACTGAAATCTACCAAGCACTGTTGAAACTTAAAAACTAAATGAATGGATAGATAACACTATGGTCATGAGTCAAAAGACTCAACAATCTTAAAATGCCAAATTGACCTATAGATTCAATGGAATTGCAATCAAAATCCCAGCAGGCTTTTTTGGTAGAAGTCTAGAAATTACGGTATAAAGCTCATAGTTAAATCGGTAAGGAAAAGATAGATTATTTAACAGTGCTATCACAGCTTTCCATCTAGAATAAAATATAAGACTGGGCCTCTATATTATACTAAACATAAATTCAAAACAGATTAAAGCAAATATAAAAAATAAGTTTAAAATCTCAAATTTAAGACTGTAACTTGGAGCAGAAGAGACCTTAGGTTTGAAATATACAGTTTAGACACATATGACAATAGAGCTTTCATAAGGAAAAAAATAATATATGGGTAAAGAGTATATGAGAAATCTCTGAACTATCTTTAAAACTTCTGTAAATCTAAAAATATTCCAAATAAAGTTTATTTAAGAATAAAATGCAGAGCAAAAAATAAAGTCAATAGTCAAATAATAGATTTGGAGAAAATACAAATATCTGTAATATATATATAATATATAGCTACTATAAAAGCTATATAACACAAAGCTATTATAATAACTATATAATATATAATCACTATAATAAAGATCTCTTTCAAACTGACAAGGAAAAAAATAACCCAAAAGAAAATAGGCAAATGATATAATTGTCAATGAAGAACAGCAAATCAAATGCCACCATTCCCCTTCTTCCAGAAATAAAGAAAACCACACAAAAAGATGTACAAAATCATTAGTGGTCAGAGATATGTAAACTCAGGTAATAGGTATTACTTTATGTCAAACAGTCTTGCAAAAACTGTTAAAGCTCTAATATCTATTGTTAGAGGAACACACGGGAAAGCAGACTCAAGTATTTGGGGAATTATTAACAATGACAGCCTTTTTTGGAAGGCAATCTCATAAACTTACTAAAATTAAAAATGTATTCACTTTTCAACCTAGCCATTTGACATCCATAAATCTATCTCCCATAGTCAAAACTACTAGAAAATAAGGACTTACATATGTGGATATTTCTTGCAGTGTTTTATATAAAGGGAGGAAAAACCCCACAAAAAATAAAGGAGATGCAAAGTGAATGCCCACCAATATGCAGCCATTAAAAAGAATGAATTGGGAGCTATACGGGTTGACTTGGACTGATTTCTGGAAGATAATGAAAATATCAAGAAAATAATCAATGTACATATGCACTGCATGTGATTACATGAACATGGAGGTGACTATAGTGTCATACGTACTTTGGTCATTTGCATTAGTTACTGGAGAAGGTAATGTGGGAAAAGGGGTAGAGAGAAAGGGGAAAGGTTAGAGGGAGAAATGGGAAATAAATTCTTTTGTGCACATTTTATTGTTTTTGTGGTAATTGTTTCTAAAAATTTTTGCCATCATACATCTTAGAATATTTATAAACTAACGTATTTGGTATAAAACCTTGTTAAAAGTGACTGCATATTCTGCCACTGTCGTTTCAAACAATTTAGTGTACAGTTTAACAAAGTGCCTGATCATGGACTCTGAGGCCTAAGTCCACAAACATTCTCATTCTCTTTGCTCAGTTATTCTGTCCCATTATAGCAAGCTTATCTTCAATTCCCTGCCAATATATAAAGTTTTTATTAAGAATTCACTTAGAGAAAGAAAAGGAAAGACAAGTCTTTTCAAGAGCCTTCAGTTTTTTTCAAAAAATCTTTCCCCCAGCATCCTGAATTCAGAATTTAGTGGCACCTTGTGCAAATGGTGTGAAATACTAGGTTTTGCCTTCTTCATGCAGGACAAAAGGTAGCCAAAATAGGTGCTTCAATGCTATTAGGCAAAATGCTGGAAAGAAAGAGAAACAATAAAGTAGGACTATGTTAAAAGAGAGACAGCAAAATCTATATATTCTAGGATTAGTTAACTCTTACAGAGGAAAGAACTTGCCATTCCTTACTGCTCACATTATTACAGATGAAAATGAATTGCTTATTAACCCTGAAAAACCTGGCTTTCTATAGTATTAAAAATCAATTCAGAAGACCCAGACAGCCTTAACAACAATTTCTACCCAACATTCAAGGAAGACATAATTCCAATCTTACACACTCTGATACTGAAGTTTATCCCAGGAGGTTAATTTAACATTTGAAAAATCAAACTCACGACATTAATACCTTAAAGGAATAAATCCCAATTACGTGAAGGTCCCCTGCCTCCACTCCTTGCAAACAGTCAGTAAAATTTAACGTATTTCCCGAGGTAAAAACTCTTGGCAAACTAAGAATTAGAAGAGAATCAAATAAATTTGATAAAGATTATCTATACCTGCAACAAATATATCTACAGAGTGGGGAATATGTCTGCAAGGTAAATATATCTGCAACAAATAATAAAAATTAATGGCTAAAACGCTGAAAAGATTTTCCTGAGATTATTAAGTGAAGAATGCCCCCTGTAACCAGTGCTATTCAGCACTATACACTTGAAGTCCTGGCCAGTGCAAATGGGCCAGAAAAAGATATACATGATGTAAAGATCAGAAAGGAAAAAACAAAGTTTGAATCCAGGCTCTGCCACTTACCAGCTATGTAACTCTAGGCAAAGTACTTACTGACTCTGCCTTGGTTTCCCCATCTTTAGAAGTGGGGATAATGAATACCTTCTTTACAGGTTTGTTCTGAAGAGTTAGTATTTTAAAAGTACACAAAGTTTTTCATATTTCAAAGCACTATAAGTGGTTAATAAAAAAATTATTCACAGATAACTGTACATAGAAATGTCAAAGAATCTAGAGATAAACTATAGGAATAAAATTTCCTAGATACAAAATCATTACACAAAAATCTGTATTTGTATATATGACGATAAACAAACAAAATGACATTAAAAAAGATAAATCAAATACCTGGGAATAAAATTTAACAAAAGATGTGAAAAGCTTCTTTATGGGTAATTATAAACACAATGCAATCCCAATCAAAACTGGTGGAACTCAAGGTTAAAAACTTTATGGAAATATGAAATGCCAAAAACAGTCAAAACACTCTCCAAGAAAAACAAGGTGGCATACTTGCCTTAATAAGTATCAAATTCCAAGACTGATGTCTAAATTGTCCATTGACTCACCTGAGACATCTTTCTAGAATGCTCATCCATTAGGTGTGTCCATATAGTTCTTCCCTCACTTCTTTTAGATCTTTGCAGAAATAGCATGTAAGCAGAGATCTTTCCAGTTTGCCCTGTATAGAACAACAGCACTACCCCAATACCTCGTCACTTTATTCCCCACCCTGTATTTTTTCATAGCACTCATCTGACATTATTTTAGCCTATGTGTATATGTTTTTTATGCCTCTTTCCCAACTATAAGCTCTTTGAAGCCAGAATGTTTATTTGGGAAAATGCTCTACTTTGTTGCTTTGTTGAATGAGTAAGTAAATAAACTGGAAGAAATCACAAAAATTCTGATAGACAATTATTAAGTATAGCAATTAACTAAATTTAAAAACTGTAACTGCCAGTCACTATTCATCTATTAAAATGGTATTACCAAAATACAGTAACTCTCCCTAAATTTAGAATATTCTGGTCATTCAAAATCAACCACGTTGTTAAGACTGGCTTTTGACAGTGGTACTTCATACTTTAATATGATAGTAAGTGAAACAAACCAATTAAAAGGAACCATATAAAATATAGCTCTGAGAATCTTCATGACTCTGAATATAAGGCAAAATAATCTAAAGAACTCTTGAATTTATTTTGTTTATGTCATGTAGGAATTAATAGGTCTGTTGGTTTCAACATTTATTTATCCTTTGGGGATCAAAGTTTATATTTTAGAAAACATGCTATGGAAAGTCTTATATATTTATAATTTAGCCCAATTTCCAGTGGAAGTAAGAGTGATGAATTGTGAGAATTAACATAAAAAAGCTAATTCAGTGCTCTGAAGATGGGAATTTGTACATTTAGGATAATTCAGTGAAACTGGTGGCTTATATAATGAACAGTAAAATCTTTGTATTTTCTCTCACTGCCATGTGATTTTTTCCCAGAGGTCTTAATAAAAGCGAAGTACAAGGGATTTAAAAAAGATTCTGGTGAGTTACGGCCTGTCTTGAACCCTGGAGTATTTTCTTATTCTAGGCTAGTCCAGAGTTAAACTCCAGGGGAATTTGGCTTGGTCCTAAATTAATCCAAGTTTGAAGGACCCCTGGGAGATGAAGGAACTTCTGAAGCCTGTTGAATGGTTTAGACCATTTTAAAAGTGAGACTGAGGTGGTACTGGTTGGGGGTACAACCAGAAGAGGGGTTCAGTGAACTGAATGCACTGGCCTCCTACATGGCATCATTTTTGCTTAATTCCTCCTAAAATAATTTAGTTTTCCATTTAAGCTCTATCCTTGTATAGAAATGTCAAGAAGGCCATTAAAATTCATACCGATTTTCATACAGTATTAACATTGTAACAGGAAAACAGAAAAAAGATCTAATTTCTTTATGGAAGCTACAAGAATAGAAAGGGTTTGAGTACAATTACCAGCTTCAATTTAAATGGCTCTAGTTTCATAATCTCATGTTGCCAAAGACTCTTTAAAAAGCATTTATACTTATGTCTTCACAACTTAATGGTAGATCTATTTACTTTCCAACCAATTTACCTTAAAAAAATAATGTTGATGAATAAGTCAGTTTCTTCTTGAAGGAAAGGCAGGTATTAGACATGAAGAAAGGACAGTGTCTAACATTGCCTGTAGAGAAGTTCAGCAAATGCTTCCCTTTGGGCTGAGACCGGAATGAAGAATCATCTCAATGTCTTGCAGGGTAATTTTGAGTAACTACCATGTGACAAACGTATATTCCTGTTCTTAGGAAAAAGCCTGTGCACAAACCATAAGGCAGTGATACATTATTAGTATTTACATTTATTTCATGTGTGCAGTTTACACACACACTACTGAACAAAACTGGAATGCAAACAAATACACAAATGCCATAATAAGCATTATCAAATAAAAGAACTGGCACTAGTGTTATAAGCATATTAATAGACCTGATGAGAAAAGTGATGGAAGAAAAACTGCAGCCCATGGCATTTTTCTTTTTATCAAAAGAAAATGCTCAGTAGCACCATAATGGTAATACTTAAAAGAAACGTGTAAGATGGAACATTTTTAACTGCTATCATTGAGGTTAACCTGTTTTATTTAAGTGAATTTTACAGGAAGTTAATAGTACAGGCAGTATTTGGCCAACTTCTGTTTAAGTCCGCTGCACATCTTCCATAAACAAAAACAAACGAAAATAAAGCCAGTCATACATGGACCCCTCCTTAGGACATGAAACAAACTGCACTGTGCTTTGATTTCATGACGGGAGAAGATAAATGTGTTAAAACATGAGATTATGTAAAGTTATTCACTAAAGCCTGAGTGTGTCTTTGGTAGGCTAATACTTTTTCAGCATTGTTATCATCAATCATGTTTAAGTTTATCTATCCTGTGTTTTTCTACATAATCCAAGGAGGCTAAAGAGGAAATTATGGAAAACAATACAGCAAAATCTTCAAACAAGTAGGTCCTTAAAATCCAGTCTCTTCCAAAGGCACCAAGAATCAATGGGGTACAAACTTCCCCTTGGTGAAAGATGACTTTTTTGTAACACTTATAAATGCTAATGGAATTTTGTTTTGTAGTTTTATATATCTTACTTGGTGCTGTTGATATACTTAATTACCTACCCTTACACTTTTCTCCTAAGGCGGCATCAACAATATACAATATAGAGAGAGTACCAGGTATTTCTATTTCAAAGTTGTGCAAAAACTGCCACAATCTTGCTCAAAGTGTTTTAAGTATCCAAATGGTAGCAAATGGGCTGCATTAAGCTTTATGTCCACATTACATATGAAGAAAAAATGAAATTTATACCCAGTTACGAACAGAAATGTTACAGAGCATCACATACTGAGAGTGACCTGCAAAGTACTTTGAACAGTATTCCCTTAGTGGTTTCCATAAAATGTCATTAACCACTTATACCTAAACCTCAAGTTTTCTTCATAAGAATGCTATAGAACTGTGTTAGTATTTTATATTGATTATAAATTAAGCCAAATTTCTATCTAAATACACAAGTATGTGCTTCAAGCAATGTTTTGTGGCAAAAACACAAAACATAATTAAGAATTATTTTCTTACAATAATGCACTTTTAAAGCCTTCATTTCATAGTTTGGTAATTAAGATCTACATGAAACACAATGATTTGCTGAACATAGAAGACATATCTGCATTATGATTATGCAATCTGGCATTTCTGGTAACTTGAAACAAAGTAGTCACAAGTAGTTCAACCAGCTCCAGACAAGGTTTTTCAGTGGTAATAATTTTGCAGCAGTTAGAGGTTTAAATTTCAGTCTGAATTGCAACTTTTAATTCCATTGTCTGATGTGAGTGGTTGTTATTTGTTTCTTTTAGTGCATCACCAAAATATGAATCAACATTGGGTTTCAGTCCATTGTTGCCATGTTCTTCAGCAGTATGATTCAACTGTGGAACTTCTGAACATGAAACAGTTTTGGTAAGCACAGAAATGCTACACTGATGTGGTGAATTTTCCAGACGGTCATTTTCTACCTCAGGAAGAATATTAACAGTAGCAAAGCGGGCATGATAATCACTGGAACCATGACTACAAGAAGTTTTCATGCTTTCTAGGTCAGAACAACTAAATTCAGAAAAATGACTAGAATGGGAATCAGCTACAGATGGCATACTGTCACTGAGGGATGGAGCCTCAAATTCACTTGAGTTCGTACTTTGCTGTTCTAACAACTGTGCATCCATGTCCTCTCTGGTCTCATTTATCTTCATGTTACTCTTCTTCCTCAATTTACCACTTTTCGATTTCTTTCCTGCGGTTGCTTCTTTGGACCACTTGGTGGCACTGGATTTACCTTCAGGCAAGCCACTGGATGAACCACCAGGACGACTTCGGGTGGCACTGCCATCCTCCACACTACTGCTTCCGCTGTTGTGCCTGAATTTGGATGGCTTTGATTCAATATCCACTTGCACCTCCATACTGTTGCCTTCTCTAGAACATAAAAGTAACCAAGGTAAATACATTTTTGACTTTTAAATTTTTATTCAGATGACAGCAGAGGGGGAGGAGTTTATGTATGAAAAATTCTAAGACTATAAAAGCACTCAGAAATTAACACAGGACACATTCTACTAAAAAAAACTGCTTGAAATAAGAGAGTTGTTCTTATAATAACGATTAAATTAAAAAAAGAGAAAGAAACAGCTACATTTATTGCTTATGCTGTTCCAGGTACTATGATACCTTACTTCTCCATTTTGTTCCAGAATAGACTTGTTGAGATGTAATTATGCACCATAAAATTCACCCGTTTAAAGTGCACACAGTTCAGTGGTTTCTGTCATATTCAGGTAATTATACAACCATCTACCTAACTTCAGAACATTTTCATCATCCCCGAAAGAAACCCTGTGCCCATCAGCAGTTCCCTTTCTTCTCTCGCCCCAACCACTGTTTACATTTCTGTTTCTGGATTTGCTTATTCTGAACACCTCACCATTTTCTTTACCAGGGAACCTCTGGAAACCATTATTCATAATAATTTTGCCTAATGATAGGGTTAATTCTTTTTAAATTAACTTAAAAATATTTCTCATTTTATAGTAATTCTTTCCTTACTTGTCCAATGGGATGTAAGAATTCAGAATGGATCCCGCCATTGCTTTGGTGCTGGCATTATCACTAACTGTTCCCAAGCTGACAGTGCCAGATTCTCCACTTAGACTGTACCGTTCCTTCTGTACATCTGCTTGTACTTCCAACCTTAAAGAGGGAAGTATTATATAAAAAACTGAAATTACATACACTATTAGCACTACGGTAGTATCTTTAAATAATTCAGCTAAGAGCCCTAGTAACAAGAAACTATTTTAGAAACAACTATAAACATTTTTTTATTTTCTCCAATTGTTCAAATTCTACTGTAGCATCCTAAAAGTATTAGCCCATTCAAATAAAATGGGAAAAACTAGCTGTCTGCCAAATTACCCAAAAAGGACATAAGAGAATTTTAATTTAAACATGCGCCATTATTCTCACTCAGGATGTGGCACTTTGCTTGCCATGTTTCAATGCAAAACATAAAATAAGAAAACAATGAAAACCATTCTATGTGACAAATCAGTGAATCAAAAAGTCTTGGGCATCTATGTGTTAGAAACAGTTCTTTCTATAAATTTAACACCTGACTTTAAGACATAATAATAATATACACTACTATTCTTAAGAGTTTGTGTTTAGAAGCAAATTACCTAAAAATAAGATAAATATGACCAACTTATGTTTTTTAATTCTTGTACTCTCCCATGTTTAAAAAAAAAAGGCAAAGCTAATAAAAAGGAGTAGAGAATAGTAAATTAGAGAGGAAACAAAGGAAGATGATAATGCTTTAAATTCTCCTATTTATCTATATGGCCATTGGCCAAAGATTTTGTGAAAATAAAATAACCATTAATACACAAAAGGGCCCAGGCAGACTATCCTGGCCTGTGAATTCATGCATTCCCAGATATCCTGACTCCACCTGCTCCCCCAGGCCTCAGCCTGTCTCATTTCTTAACATCCAGTTGTTGACACCTCCAGAGGTTAAGATCCAGGCTTAAGCACTGTCTTTACTATGTGAGCACTGATTTGTTACATAAAACCGGACAACTACAGTGAAAAAAACTGGCAGAATGTTATGCCTTAGACTTGGTTCTTACTATATCATGGTATTATAACAAAAAATTCAAACAAGTAAAAATCTCCTTATTCACTGTTTCCCACTAAATTTCATTTTTTAACATTATTGTTTTCAACCCTGACACAGTAGGGTTTATATGTAATCATACTTTGTGTTCAAATTTCTCCTCATCTAACTAATAATTTATAGTTACAAGAGAAGGCAGAACAAAGCAAAGCCTATTTTTCTTACCTGTTAAAACAGTTTACCATGGCACTTCCTGACAGACTCCCCGTTATACTGGCTCCAGCTAGTGCCATGGTGCTGGCCGTCTCACTCAGGTTGTCTCGAATGGCTCCTATTCGGTCCATATGGCTTCCACTTGCACTCAAACTGCCAGTTAGACCACCAACACTTCCCTCTCCTATGCTAGGGTTGTGTCTTGCTTCTGCTACTGAAGTTGTGTCTAAATATACATATTTCAAAGAAATTAAATAAATGATTATTAATTTCCCTCTTTTAAAATTCTTCCATGATTTCAGATAGGACACTTTATCATATAAAGTATAAAACTAACACAGGAATAGAAAATACATCTGGACTCAGGGATGCATAACTATGGGGTAAAAGTAAAGAGAAATTCTCAGAGAGTAAAGTTGGATCAGGAACTGGTCTTCAGTTGTAAATGCTGATTACTTTTTAAAAAAAATATAGAGAATCTAGGAATTCTATAAAGAAACTGTTTAAACATTTAGCTGACTTAGGAAGGAAATTATGTGAGTTTTCAATGAGGGTGTTATTTAAAGAGCTTATTATGCCCTAAGCCAATAAGAATGGGCCAAAAATTGACTTCTAGAAATATTCCACAGCTCCAATGGTCTACAAGTTATATAACAAGATCTGATACCACTACATTCCAATCTTAAAGTACTTTCTACATGCTTTGTACTGAAGGATTCACTTATTTTCTCCAGTATTTGAGTTCCTTTTACATACCCAACACTGTTCTACACTGGGAACATACTGAATCACAGATACAAACATCCTGCCCTCAAGAAGCTTACATTCTCACTGGGGAATGCAATAAATATTATATAGTGACAAATGCTAGGAGAAAAAAAAATAAAGCAAAATAAAGGGGAGTATATAAAAGGTGGTGAGAGTAATGAGGAGTACATGTGTACATACTTCTGTGCCATTTTATATAGAGTGATCAGAGATGGTCTTTCATTAAAGTGACTCAAAGTTAAGTGAGCCATAGAATTCACTGGGGAGAAGAATATTCCAAGCAGAGGGAACTGAAAGTTTAAAAGCCTAGAAATAGAAGTGTCCTTGGCATCCTTGAAAATGTCAAGGGGTGGTATAAAATAGAGTGACAAGAGATGAGTTCAGAGATGTAGTCCTGGACAGATCATGTGGGATCTTAGGGGCCATGATAAGGACTTTGGCTTTTTCCACCCCCCAGTATAGTTAGGAGCCCTAGGAGAATTTTGAGCATGAAAAAGACATGATCTGACTCACGGTTCCGAAGTATCACTATGGCTGTACCATGAATAGTGAATGGAAGCTGAGAAGGTAACGCCATCAGTTAAAGAGGCTATTACAATAGTCCAAGAAACAGGACAGCAGCTTGGACTAATGGAATAGCAGTGGGAAGGGTGAGAAAGGGTTAGATTATGACTAAATTTATTGAAGAAAGTAACAGAATTTGCTGACAGATCAGATGTAACGTTAAGAAGGGAAAAGAGTCATCCTAAGTTAAGGTTTTTGGCACAAGCAACAGGCAAGGATGGAAACATTACTGAGGTGAGAATGACCGGAAGAACAACAGGTTTTAGAGGAAGAGTATGGTAAAAGACAAATTAAGCTTGAAATTGTTAGGCATTCAAATGCAGATTAAAAAGAAGAATTAGATGTACAAATGTGAAGTTTGGAGGAGAGTTGTAGCCCAGATATAAATTTAGGAGTGGCTGGCCTATTTATTATTTAATGGGTGAAGTTACCTAGGGAGTGAGTGTAGATAAAGGAGAGTAATCTAAGAACTGAACCCTGGAAACTCCAAATTTTAGAGGTTAAGGGAGAAAAATGAACCAGCAAAGACAACTGAGAAAGTGCAGCAGGATATGTGATTAAGATGAGGACAAGGAGAGAAGTAAAAAAAAATGTTTCAGGAAAGAGGGCAGGGTCTACCACGTCAGGTGTACTGTTGCCTTAAGATGAAAACTAAGAATTGACCACTGTAATTTGGTAACACAGAGGTCACTGGTGACTCTGCTTTGCGGAAGAAGTAGAGATGGAATTCTGGAGTGGTAGGGACCAAAATCTGATTAGAATGACTTCAAAAAAGAATGAGAGGTCATAATATAAGTTAGTGACAGGCATGGTAATACAACATGAAGAATAGAGCCAATGCTTCTGTAACATCTTTCTATGCTGACAGATAGTAACTGCACTACTTGGGGTGAGGATTTAACAATGTGTATAACTGCTCAACAACTGTGTTGTATACTTGAAACCAATATAATATTGTATATCAACTACACTCCAATAAAAAAAAGAGAGAGAGAATGGGAGGTAAGGAAGTAAACATTATCCTTCACATATCCCTGATTATTTCCCTAAGATAAATTTCTTTACCAAGAATTGCTAGGATATAGAATACAGATATTAACTTATACTCCTACTGGCAGTCTGTGAGGGCCTTTTCATTCTCTAGTTATTATTCTAATTCATATTTCTTTGAATATTACTGGGTTGAAGATATTTTCTACTCATTGGCCACCTGTATTTTTTGAATTATAAACTTTTCTCTTCATATCCTTTTCTTAATGATTTGTAATGTTTTAGGAAAAATTTAAAATTAAAAAGTTCAGAATTTCTATTGGAAATTCCACTGGAAGATAGGTACCCAGAACTATTCTACCCTCTTTCATCCATTCACCCTTCCTTGGCAGTTCATTTCGCTGTTGTACTCTTCTGGATGAATACTTTTAGGCCACGTGAAAGGAAGGCAATGGAAATTCTGACTTAAGTGTTATGTACAGCCTCCCCACTTAAACTATTAGTAAATACATTTTTTTTCTTTGCTTAAAAGACTTACCTACAGCTGTGTTAGTTCCACCAACATTTATATCATTTTCATCATCAAATTCAATCCTGACTCCTTTTCCATTGCCTGCTGAGACTCCACACCCTCCACTTCGACAGAGAGAAATTGGAACAACGCCATAGACATAAGCTAACATAATAGGAACACCAATACCTAAAGAGGAATTAAATTAGTCATTATAAACCAAAAAATAAATGAATTTATTTCAGAAACATGAATTTTAGATAGTCTTTTGAGAGAAGGTATACAGGAGAAATGTGCTGGAGTTCCACAACCCTTGCCAAAATGAATTTACCTAGCTACTGAGGCACAGAAGCAAATTCAAAGTTTCCAGCATTACAGGTGAAGGATAAAGATGTAGACCTTTTCATTTAAAATGTCAGGGCTCTATCTACAAACTGTATTTGTAGAAGGGGTTTCAGCCACTAATAATTTAACAACTATTCTAAGGCTAGGCTCTTGAGTCTACAGACTTTTAACCAACAGTTACTGAATGAAAAGTTTTTCGTAGACTCAGCTTCAATTGTCCTTAAATAAAAAGGCAATGCTCTTATCTTTAACAATATAATGCTTTGTTTTTAAAAATCCTTCCACACAAACTTTACTTCTACAAAATCTGAGGTAATTAGTATTTTCAAGCATAATCTTACCTACTGTTACTGCAGCTACAACTGGAGATATGATTACAGACAATGTTACACCACCTGTTATAGCCAAATTCCGTTTGTGCTTTGAAACGTCCTTGCCTTCATATCGATTATGAATCTTAAATTAAATATAAAAATGGGGGTGGGGGATTAAAGAGAAAATACATTACATATTTATATTAAATGAAACAGACTTACATTTGCTAGAAGTTTAAAATGATTTCTCTATAACTTCATAGTTAAGTGTCCTAGTTTAAAAGGTAAACATATTACTGTTCTTAAACCATATCTTACAACACATAATTTGCTCCTTAGTAATAATTTGCTTACATAAGATAGTGATTTAATAGATTTTATTTGGTGCTTACTTTTAAACCATCTTGAGTAAAAGTAGTCTTTATAATCTTATTTAAGAATAATATAATCATGTTTTGAACAAAGAAGGAATTAATATTATTTTCAACATAACTGAGTTGAATGTTTGACTAATAGGATTACTTTTAAGAAACTGAGCATTTCACATGTTTCTACATAAGCATCCCTAAATGGTAAAAATTTGCTTCTAGGGGAGGTTTCCACAATTTTTAAAATAACCTTAAAAAGTAGTAGTAATAAGTAAACATCCCACAGAATCAATTTTTTTCTCCAATGCCTTTTTATGAATAAAAATATTATCAAATGACTCAGGATCATGGGCTCTCATTTATAGCTTAAATAAGGGTTAGAAAGAAAAAAAGAGAATAAATATTGCTGCCAAAGACACAAGCTGAATCTGCTTAGCATCTTTGTATAGTACAGGTGTTAATAAACAGAAATTAGTATCACCATGAGAGTGGCTTGTGAGATTTTACATGAACTTCAGGAAATAGCTCAGTATCTTTGTTCTCATGGTTTGCAAGGGCTAAATAAAGCACATTTCCCCCTCTCTTTCAAGATAGATTCAAAATACCCTCAAAAATATTTTTACAGGTAGTCTATAGAATAAAATACTTGACTTATAAAGAATATTACAGATGAGGCTTAATAAATTGATCTACAATTATCATGTTGTTATTTTAAAGGCTATAAAGTACAATGAGTTTGTGGGATACATTAAATAAACAGTGAAAAGTATGGAGTGGGGAGGTGGGCGAAGCATACATTAGACAAGGAACATTTCTGTTTACTAGTTAGAATTCTGTTTCCAAGCTTTGGTTCATGTTACCAGGGAATGGACCTCTATACTTCCTAAATAATCCATGCCAGCAGAGATAGCAGACCTTCCCAAGATACAGTTCATTATCCTTCAGTATTGCAGTTAATTCCTGCTCTTCCCCACTCCCGTTTCTGGACAACTTAGCACTGAAGCAGAGAAAAGCCAAAGGTAAGAACTGATGAAGGAGACTTGCAAAGGCAGGGTGCCAGAAGAAAGGGATCATCCAGAAAATTATGGACCCTCAAGCACCAATGTTCAATTACAGTGATCATATTATTCCACTATTTCTGGTCCAACTTACTTGTTCTGTTTTGCAATTTTGTACCACATTTTCTATTTGCTATTATAAATAAGGGCTCAGCTTTTAGGTACTTTTTTAACTTAACTGTTTTCCTGGGCTGGTTTGTATCCCTAAATACCACAGAGAACAATGTTTCAATGGAAAACCAGTTCATCATTTTGCAACCCTTTGGGTACATGTTTGAAAAAAGGAGACTTGCAATCACACCTAAGATTTGAATTATGAAGTAAATAATCTCTCCTCTATAAATTATTTGTAGGTGTATGCAGTACAATAGTCCATCTTTCCTTTCTAGTTCTATTTCTAAGTATCTGAATAAACTGTTTTATTTCCAGCAAAACCTTACTTTGGATAACTACATGAAAAATTGTTATAATCAGCTACTATGTTTGGGACTTAAAACAATTTAAGTTATTTAAAACCTTTTGATACAAACATTTGCTTCATAAATAGCTATGACTGTCCTTCATCCCAAAGCCAGTTTTTTAAAAATAGTATGTATTGTTATTTTTCTGATTATAAAAGTAATATATTTTGAATATAAAAAAAATTGATGGGGGGTTATATGGCAGATCAGCCTTGTTTTGACTTTGGTCCTCAAAGTCAAAAGAGGAATTAAATGAAACAATTTAAAGGGGAAGAGATTCTGACTCAACATAAGAATTAACAATTATAGCTACCTGGCAACAATGGGTTTCACCATTGCCCAAAAGGCTAGATTGAAATTTATCAAGGATCTTATACAGATCTGCACATTTGGGTTTAAATTCCAGCTGTGCTTCTTTCTGTGTAACTGAAGGTAAATTACATAAACGTTCCTAAGCCTCAACATTCTAGCATACAAATTGCCGTGAGGTTGAAATAACTCAGTATAGGTAGAACACCTACCACACAGTAAGGGCTCAACAAACTTAGTTTCCTTTTTTAAAAATTCTTTTACTTTGTTCTGTTGGGATACAAGGTTGGGATTAGATAATTCCAAAGCTACGTCTCTAAAATTATTTTGGAGTCACTTCATAAATTATCCCTTTAATCTTTCAAAAGAGAACTATTGCTTGGCTAATAAAGTATAAAACTCATAACTCATAGGCCAATGGTAAGAACTGGTGTTTAGACTCACAAGATTGTTATAATCTACAAAACAGCATATTTACTAATAGCAATGATCTGAGGAAAAAAAAAGATATGGACCTTTTTTGAGGAAATAATTGGTTAAATATAAGTTGGAAATCATTTAGAGACTGGCTAATGTTCTCTGCCTGAGGCATGTGTTATTTAAATAACTTTTTATAGACCTGACTTTACAAGAATATCCATGAGAAAAATGTCAGGTGTATATCCTTCAATGCTTTATACTTGAAAGTTTGGTTTATAATGCAAATTATAATATATTAAAGATATTCAGATAATTTTTAAGCAAGTCTACTTTATATGCATGTATACAAACTTGCCAAATTTTATTATCTGAAAATGTATTATCTTATGAAAAAATAGTAAATGGTTTTATACCAAAGATACTAAAATTAGCCTTTGTCTTTCAAAACAAATAAAAAACAAAACAAAAACAAAGCAAAATCATCAATCCTAAACCTAAAGGTTTAGAATAAGACAATGAACTAACCAGGAATTATGCATTTTACCTTACGGCCCACATATACAGGAATGCCAAGAATCATTGCAGGGATAGCAATGCCAGCTATTAAAGCAATTCCTACAGGAGCACCAACAAGTGTTCCCAGCTGCCACAATATTTTCTTCTTTCGGCTCCAGGGTTTCTTCCCCCAAAAAGTACATCCTGATGGACTAATGGAAAGAATTCTAATGTCAAGTACGTGCTGCAAAACATCACAACAAATTACTACAATACATTAAAGCAGTGACTATAAATGAAGACTTCTCATACTTACGAATGAGGGCTTTTTTTCCCCCTTTCTTTGAATTTGGAGTTAATTAAAAAACAAAAATTAAGGTAAGAACCACCTTAATTATATTAAAAGGATACTAATAACTGGGATTCAGGTTATATACTTATTGCTAATCCTCCATTAGCCCCAAAACCTTAGGTTAGTTTTTGAAGAATAAATTAATGCAAAACATGTTTATTTTATCCCTGTTAAAGTATCTGGCATACAATATCTGATTATATCATAAACTCACTTTCTGTCTTAAATGAGGGAATTTATATGAGAAAATTAAATGAGATTATTTATGACCCAGCATAATTACATGGGGTATTAAATACTGGTTTTCTAGTTCAACAAAAACAAAAAAGTCTAGTTATTAATCCAAAATGACTAGCACAATAATTTGGTTACATTTAAATTCATGTAACTAGAATAAAACTTAGGATCCCTCTAAGTATTTTACGTCCTAAATTAAGAAATGCTTAGGATAACACTTTTTCAAAAAAATGTCCTTTTGTCTTACAATATAGACTTCTATTTATATAGAAATAGTTCCTTCTACAAGCTTACCTGAGATAATGTAAATCTGAGATTTCTTTCATACACAACCAACAAAACTCACAACCACAGACAGCACATGTCATGTGATTACAGCTCCCGTCATTCATCTTAATTATATAAGCAGCACATCGTGGACATGGCTTTATATCATCAGCTATTAGGAAAAGAGAGAGACCTGTTTGACTGTATCAAAATGGTCTAAAATTAACAACTTCTAGTCGATAATTGTAGCACTGCCAAAAAATCTGAACATGTATAGTTTAACTGATAGCTTTAGCCTGCTATTTTTATACATAAAGCATTTTCTCATCCCTTCTGAGAAAAGGAACATATTTTACATTAAAATTTCAAGTTTTAAACATTTTTCAAACACAGTAGCATAACAATGAGAAAAAATAAAAAAATAATAGAAAAGAAAGGAGAACCAAGGACAGCCCTAGGCAAATTGTGAACCACACAATTTATCTTTGTCCCTAGCCTATAGCTATCTTCTCTGAGTGGCACTTCATGTTCTGGAACTTTTCTAACCATCTCTACTTAATCAATATTCTGCAAACCCTTTATGAATAAACACTAAAAGTGGTGACACTTTGCTATTAATGTGAAGCACTATATATAAAGCACTGAATTTACTTCTTTCTTCCAAGTAATATCAACTCTAAGTACGGTAAACATAACATCTTCAGGAAAGTAGCCTTTTCTTCCTATTTTAGTTCATACAATGGACATATGGGCCTTATTCAGTACCCAGAATAGAAGGAAATAAGTATGAAGCTAAGGAAGTTGTATGGTTATTAACATTTAACCAATGGAAAACAGTTTCAGAATTAATGCGATCATTTGTTGATCATGCTCATGACTGTTTTTAATTAGTTAGATCTGTCCTATTTATTCAAATGTTGTTATTGTATGCTTTCTGTATAGTAATACGGTTACAAAGCACAAAGGTGCCAATTTAAAATCAAGTTGTACAAAAACTTAGTAATCACTGACACAGAATAAGAGTAGTCTCAAATTACAGAACTATTTTGAACTTTGGCATCTATTTAAATAGCAACAAGTAATTATTTTACTGTTTCTAGTAGCCAGCTATTTTTTCAGTATACATAGGCAGTTCAGAAAAGATATTTATAGTGCTAGCCACTGAATTCAAGTATTTGTTCCAATTTTTACATGACAAGCATTTGGCTGTATTCTATTTTATTTTCTATAAATTTTATGGTCAAATTTTACCTATTTTGCCACTGAATTCAGGTTTCCTTAGTGCTTCTTTTAGGGCCAAAGCTGTTTTTTAACTTAAGAACAGGTCAATGCTCACAATTAGTGTTTTAACAATATGAACAATTTTGAGCAAACTGATAACTCTATGCAGCCAGACCAAGACAAATGATAATTCTAGAATTAAAAATATCTGTAAGTCATTATGTAAATGATCCAAAGATCATAAAGTCTGCATTAAAAATGTTTCAACAATAGCATGAATGAAGAGAAGCTGGCTTTTATAGGGTATATTACTATATCAAATTAAAGAAATGCTAATACTATCTACTTAAGTGGCATATTAATTGATAAACTTCCTCATTCCAGAGTATACTCAAGAGGTAAAAAGCCCAATTAGAGGTGGGAATAAAGAGAACTGGGCTTTGGTTTTGATACATACAATCTTCCAAAACAAACTGAAAAGTGAGATCCCATTTATTCTTAGTGTTCTAAAAACACAAAGCAGCCTTTTAATATGCTCTAAGATTACATGTTAGAGAATTCACACCACAACATATTTTTGATAAGTTTACCATACATGTACATGCATGGTTTTACTCTCTGTAGAATTATCTACAAAAATCTGTTTTGTCTGCTTTGTCTCTTTTCTTAAAACAGTAAGTTAGTGGGAAATAATTACTATGCACATAAGGATACATATCTCTCAAAGTAGTCTCAAAATGCAAAAATCCTTAATAAAGCTGTTTAACTGATTAGACAACTGATGCCCCCTTCCCCAAGCATCAATTAATCTATAATTACTATATATTTTAAAAAGGTTTCCCATTCTTACTTGAAGTGTTTGACAAATAATTACCTTTGAATACTATGTTTACTATTACAATATGGGCAGGCCATTGTCATATTAAGAAAAACAATAGGTTACAAAACACTGTGTTCTCAAAATTTATTTTACAACTCCCCTGCCCCTGCCACCTTACCTGTAAGGACTTACAACAAAATGTTAAGCAGTGGTTATCTCTTGGGATGGTAATAGCAGGGAACAGAGTGTGGGTGGGGAGCAAACTGAACACATTTTTATAAAGGGGTAAAAACATGGTAATGACATTGAAAGATATGTGGTTCATTTAATATGTAACTCCAAGTGCATAACCACCCTAATAGATATAATAGTCTCATGTAGATGTAATAGTATCACTATTTAAAGACAAATATAATCATAATATAAATTATTTAATGTACTATATGATTAAACACACTTATCCTCAGGTAACTGATTAGAAATAGTCAACTAATAATTATTATACCAAATATTTATTAAAAGTGTAGCCAATTTTTCAAAGTATTATAATTTGAGACAAAAATACCAAGATACCTGGAATAATAGGAATTAATAAAATCATTTTACATGGTAGTTCCTTTTCCTCTTTTCTTTCTATAAGTCAGTGAGAAGCCAAGTTCAAGTTTTTAATTTTTGTAGATTATATTAAAAAAAACTGTCACACATGAACATTTGTTCTGAGAGCTTGGACATCTGGAGCATTGTAGTTAAAAATGCATGTATTTTAAATTTTCAGAACTATGAGATAAGATTTTTAAATCTTGGAAACATGGAAAAATGCCAACAATGCTAGTATTTAAAAGGCTCAAATCATTTGAGAACTTTTTCTTTCATAATTACTTTCAAAGCTACTTTATATTTAAAAATCACCCTCATTATTATACAGCTACATCTTACTCTGGATGAACTTCAAACTAGTGATTCAACTTGATATAATACTCAAGGTGTGAGACGTAGCTCCAAAGAAACTTAGGCATTCCCAGAAATCAAACTAATAATTATATAAGAAGGTAATTAAGTGAATGTGTCAGGATCTAAAGGTTGTGACCAATAAGGTATTCAAGGGTGACACTGCTGAAGTAAACATAAAATATCCCACAGTGATAACTAGGAGGAAGACCAACATTCATCAAAATTATGATGTTTATTTTAAAATGGATGACACAAGCCATCTCTAAGTCTTTTTTTTTTTTTTAATGATGGTTCAGACACACGTAAATCTCTAGCACGTAACTGTGGTTTCTCTAACTCTCTCTACTTCATATAGCCAGAGCCCTTATTATGAGCCAGGAAATGTTTCAACTTTATGGACATGAGTATTATTAGTATCTTCATTTTACAGATAAGGCAAGTAACTCGCTCAGGGTCACACAGAATTAGTGGAGAAGCTGGGATCCAAATCTAGAAAAGTCGGATTCCAGAGTCCATTCTCTTACTCTGTATGTCTGTATAAATACCAATGCCCAATAAATACCTATTCCCACTTAAAGAAAAGGGATATTATTTCCAAGCAGACCACTATACTGCAGCTGACTACAGGGAATAGTTTAGATACATCTGTGTTCTCTTTGAATTGCTTCTTGATCCTTACCTATAAATTATTATTAATAACTTTAGAGTTTCACTCCAAATCTTCAGAAAAGGAAATAGAAACAAGTCAATGATCTAACAGGCATGAAAATTCATTTATATTTTATGAAGTATTAAATGTCAAATTTAAAGTATATATAATTTTAAATGTTAATTTTAAATTCAACTTTATGAATAAGACTTTTTCCTTGTAGCATAAGTCACATGATCATCTCCATACACTACTGGTAGGAACGTAAATTATTTTCTTGATAAAATTCTGTATCTTCCAAGTTTTTCTCTTTTATAATCAGTAAGAAAAGTGATTATTTTTCTAAAATTGAAATTCCAATAAACAATGAAAATTCAAGGCATGTGAAATATTTCTTTGGAATTTTATTCAAAGAACATTAAGGTGTTCAGAAATTTTTTATTAATTTTTGATATTTATGAGATGCATATATTACTCATGTAGAGATTCCCACATAGTTTTTAAATTTTTAGCCAAAGACACAAAGTTTTTAGTGTCCTCCACACTAAGGTATGATTTTTAATCTGTTATTCTGGAATTGGATGAGACATCTGTAAATAAAACCTGTATTTCACAAAACATGTAAATGAAAAAGATTCAAAAAATAAACTGTTTTAAACCTGTAACTGTGATATTTACACAATTAGAAATAATCTAAAGGTAATATTCAAAATTAATTTTATTAAAAATCTTTGCTAAGCTTTGCGCAGCACACCTTCATAAATAACAGTTTCAGACCATCTTTGGCCTATGAGATTTATAAATTATAAACCATCATGATACTTCCTTTTGCTTTTTTTTTTTTAGGCAATAAAATCTTTCCAATCTCAGTCCTACTTTCTTCCACAGGAAAGAACAAGTGCTATTGGGAAAGAAATGCTAACACACAGAATAATTTTGATAACTGAGGAAGAACATGTAGTAACAGGAAATGAATACTGTACTTCTACTGAAATAACTAATGCTCTGTATATGTAAAATATTTTATTAGAAAAAGATATAAATACCTGCTGCTCCAGACTCTTGACTGTAACTTATAGATGAAGAACGTATAGTTCTCAGACGTAAACTCTGGGCTCTCTCTTGTCGAGCAGCATCACAGGTCTGATTGGGGTGCCAAATCTGTTTACAGTGGTAACAAAACTCTGTTCCACAGCCTTCTCGCCCACAAGTTAATTTTGGACAGCTGGCACATCCAAATGCTATCACAGCATATCTTCAAAGAACAATAAAAATTATTTAAAACAAAAAATTATAAAACAAAAGATATTAAGTAAGAAAATTATACAATTTAAATGCTATTCCTGAAAAAGTTTTCTATTTATGCATGAGCAAGTGGTCATAAATCCTAACACCATCTCAACATATAAAAATGGGCAAGTGAAAAGTTCACAAATGAAGACATATAAATGGTAATAAACATTTTTAAAGTTCAATTTTTAACTTTTAACTTCCAACTTACAACTAGGAAGTCAAACTATATATAGCCTAATCCCGATTTTATAAAAATTCTATTAAATTAGTATTCTATGCACTAGAAAAGACTAGAAGAAAATTCACTAAAAATCTTGGTAGTTTTCCTAGTATTAGGGTTCTAATTATCTTCTTTATATAGTACACATTTCTGACTTGTACAATTACCTGTTACTTATAAAAACAGAAAGGTAATAAAATTACATTTTTAAAAATACAATGCCTATAGATCAGCTACACTTGTCAGTGTATATATAATAGTAGGCTGTGCCAATTCATAAATTGTGTGCCGATCTTGTATTTATGCATAAATTCTCATATTCTTGTTTTTAAGATGCATGGTAAAAGTGGTCTTTGGGTGCCAATTTCTACCAAAATGTATACAAACTTGAATTTCTCAATCAGGAAGCTTTGTTTTTTACATCATATAAAAGATTAAGAACAGTAGACTCATTACTAGCCCTAACACTTATACTTTGAGCTAATATTGTTGGCACTTTAAAAATTTCTGACTTAAATTCTGGGCACTTGGGCATTATCCCAGATAAATGAACTAAATGTTTACAACAGCTTTGTTTGTAATAGCCAAGAACTAGGAACCCAGATGTCCTTCATTAGCAGGTAAATGGTTAAACAAACTATGGTGCATAGCTACACCACAGAATACTACTCAACAACAAAAAGGAACCACCTACTAAAACACTTAACAACTTGGATGAATCTCTGGGGAATTACGCTAAATGAAAAAAGTCAAATGCCAAAAAGTTATATACTGTATGATTCCATTTATATAATATTTTGAAATGATAAAGTTTTAGACATGGAAAACAGATTAGTGGCTGTCAGAGGCTAAGGATGGAGTGAGGGAGAGGAAGAGGTAGGAGAGAAGTGTCAGAAGAGCAACATGAGGGAGCTTTGATGTGACAAAACTTACTACCTTTACTAGCGTGGCGGATACATGAACCTACAGATGGTAATAAAATGGTATACAACTAAATACACAAATACACATATACACAAATAAATACAAGTAAAACTGGGGAAATCTGAATAAGATCAGCAGACTGTATCAAATTCAGTATCCCAGTTGCAATACTGTATTATAGCTTTGCAAAATGTTATCATTGGGGCAAACTGTGTGAAGGACACAGGATTTCTTTGTATTATTTCTTATAACTACACATGAATCTACAATTATTTCAATAAAACTTGCAAATAAAAAAATGTCTAGGGGTTTCTGCTTCTCCCTGAAAGAGAAACAAACAAGTCTTGTCTATAAACAAGGCTTTTGTAAATCTCAAATATTTCCTTTTGCCTGGAAATACAGAGGAGTTCTCAGAGCTCCTCTTCCTACTGGCAATACAATTTCAGTAATAATTGTAACTGAGGTTTTTATTAAATTTCAAGATAATCCATTAAATTATACAAAATTTTAAGAGTCAAGAAGCTTGTTTATTTTGGACCTGTTGCTTCCATGGTATCTCACCCTTTTAACTTAAATTTTATTTTATTTTTTTAATTAAGGTTTCACTGATATATATGAAGGTTTTAACTTAAATTTTACATCTTAAATCCAATTTTATTCTGATAGACCAATTCTCCAAGTGACATTGTCTACCATAAATATGTTCAAACATGATGGAACTAAACACAACTTAAATCAAGATGGGATAATTTAGCAAAGTTTCACTTCCCTGAGCTTTAAGACTTCCCTAAGGGCTTTTTCAAGGCAGTCCCAAAAAAAGAAAAAATCTTTGAAGACTATTTTTTTCTATCAAGTTATAATCTAAAGCAATCTTTAAATGATTAATTTCAGTTTAAAGGAAATGACATTCTCTTCTAAATCTTCTCTATCCTACTCTTGAGGAAGAAGTGAAGAGGAGGGACCGGATGGGGAAATCTGTCTATATAAAGGGGACAATGCTAAGATCAGCTAAATTTTTAAGTCAGTAACAATTTATAAAGGCAGAAGAAAAGTTCAGTCTACTTGGCCCAAATTCTACTTCTACCACTTATTACTTGTATAGTTTTATGTAAATTACATAATCTCCCTACAACTAAGTTTTCCCAAACAAAATAGGGATTCTCTGAAGTTAGGCTTAGCCTCAGTTTACAGTCAAAATCATCTTCAGCTTTGGTCTTGACCTTAGAAGGCCAAATAAGCAACTGACTGCTTCAGTGACATTTCTAGTAGCTCTGTACTTGTGCTTGATTAATGACCATGTGATCATTCAAATTACTGTCTCTTTCACATCAGTATGAATAATGTGTCAACTAGGCTGAATATTAATATCCAAATATTCATTTTAAGATAAACACTGGTAGGCATCTTAAAGCAAAAATCCTGTTTTTTTATATGGTGAAATTTTACTGGACAACTGAAGTATAAATACATATTGTGTTCCAAGAATAAAATGCAAGAATTACTGGTGATTGTGTACCCCAAATTTACATACAAACTTAAGATCTTTCAAACAATAGGGAAACATTTACAATTAATATGAACATTGAGATTGCATTAACTAGATAAACTTAGGAAGAACATACCCTTCCTGAGCAAATATTCATAAAAATATATCAGGCAGATTAATAGAAATTAAGTTATGTCATAATTCTAACCTTTGTAGAAGGCTGTTTGGTATACTAGTCTTTCAATAAACAAAACTTTTAAATACTGATTTAATTTTTAGTTAATGACTTAGGCTATGAGTCTTTCAAGACAAAGTCCTACCAGGGAATTCTTCACATCTTCACAAGAAGAATTAACAGCAGAACATCAACTTTGCCACTGCAAAATTTCATGAAGAGAAGTTCCAAACTGACACAACATCCACAAAACATGATGGGATATGGCAAGAATATCAAGAGAAAACTGAGGACTCAAAACACATTTTCTTCTCAATAATCAAACCTCAAAACAGCTTCAGAAATTGCCTTCAGATGAAAAGTCCTTACAGTTTTTAGTCTAGAGATTTAAGCTTGTTCAAGAAGACTGAGGGAGCTAAATAGATACTTACTGAGTATCTATTTAGAATTTTTTAAATATGCAGTATATTTGTCAGGAGCAAACTAACAGTTGACACATAGAGTATTATTTTTCCTGCATTATGATGTCAAACATTTAAAATTTGATTGCTAATTTTAAAAAATTATTTTTTAAAGTAAAATTTTACATTTATCCTCATATCACAGAAATTCACCACTTTGATAGGTGATACTTTGGCCTCAGAGGAATAGTGATCTAACATCTGGTAACTTGGCATTTAATAAAAATGTAGGTCTTAATGCATCTCAAAAATTAGGATATAATAACAGAGTTGTAATATTTAAATCAGACAATGTGTGTGTCTGTGTGTGTGTGTGTAGAGAGAGAGGTGGGGGAAAAGTGGGAGAAAGGGAAAGAATTAGTCCACAGCATATCCATGTACTCATTGTGAGAGATAAACTATAACAAACTTGTTTTACGCTACTCAGTATTAGTTGAAAAGGTAAGATGCCCTAACCCAGAACTAAACATTCAAGACCCATTTAATCTATGCAAATTCCAAAGACAGGATTATCTTTAATAATACTACCCAAATATTTTCACGAATGTGTATCTTGATGACTGCAAAAGTTTGTCTACTAGTATTTTCTTATGCTAAAAATTAATGACTACTAACTATGTAAGTGTTCTGTGTTCATATACACATTCATTCCTAATGATAACTATGTTAGGCACATTCTTTATGAAGGATTAAATGTACCTAGCATTCACATATTCTGAAAACAGAATGTTATGCCTCTTGAAGATGAATTTCACTGTGTGGAAGCCAAACTTACTTTAAATTGGAAAATAGCTTTCAAATTATAATAGAAGAAAATGGTAAAACTAAAAGACAAAATATTTGCTTTAAAGAAAAATGTCAGGAGTCTCTCTGCTCTGGTACACTGTTATTTGAGAAAAAGAACAGGCTCAGCAGAAAGTCAGATAACCAAGTAATACTGGTTAACTACCTAAACATCTCTGGCTTAAACAGTACCTAAATCTTGGTTTAGAAGATAGCTTAATTTCTTTCTATGATTAACTATGTATGTAACTTGTCTTACTTTGTCTCTTTTCTTCAGCTGAAGGTCACTAGTTACTTGAAATGTTCAAACCTTCCTACCTAGCAGAAGAGGAGTAGGAAGGGGAAGAAAGGAAGGGGCTGAAATAGGACAGTCTTTCCAAAAGTGTTTTCTGTTCACTGAATTATCAATAAATGATCCACACTGAAAGTACTCAATGGTCAAATTAGGGAAATGCTAGGCAAAATTAAAGTGTTTTAATTATATTACACAGAGGATATATAACTAGGATTTGCTAAAACATTTTTAACATACCAATGTTCCATATATAGTATTCACTACCTACAGAATTTATATGGCCATGACACTTATTTCCTCAGTTTCAGAGTACTAGAATTCCACGAATTATACTATGGACAACACTAAGGAAGTAGGGATATTAGCTAGGCAGTATATTCTGCCTAAATTCCTTATAAAGGAACAAGAACAAACTATACCTAATATGAAACATAATCTGAAGAAAGATACAACAGTCCCAATAAAAATTTTAATGAGAAAAAAGAATGAAAATTATCCAGAAATTCAAGATTACTTTTTTTTCAAAAGCTTTAAGACAACCTCTCAAGAACAAAGAAAATAAAATCAGAAATACCGAAGTTATTTGACCCAGTTAAGGAGAAAAGTCAAGTTTTTTAT